TGAGTGGTGGAGGCTACTGGAAAAAGGAACTTGGCCGGTACCGCTAAGGCTTCGTTGCTTGCTTGCACATATTTCTGATGCAGTCCTAGTACTGGGGTTTGCAGTGATATTACGGTGAATTTGAAATTCGCAAATTCTTGTGTTGCGTAGGGTGCTAAGAGTCGGCCCTTTTTTTGACATTAAAAAGATCTATTTCTATGCCTAAGGTCTTGCTGGAAACCCAAGCATTCGAATATCTCGTATGCCAATGGTGAGGTAGGGATATATGAAACGCGGTAAAACGAGCATGCTCTGAATGGGATAGCGCATATGCAGTTGACTCCACTGCATTGTAAAGAGTGTATCCCGGATGAACTATAGTAGAGCAGTTCAGGAATGATTTCGGTGGGTGGTACTGTTTCGCCCTTGTCGCCATGACATGATCCCATGCCGCGGCATCGTGTCACTTGTTGTACCGCATTGGTAGTTTCTCTCGTCCAAAAGTGAGAAATTTTCTGGCAGAACAACGTCTCAGCTGTGCGTGTAACCTTGACGTATCCAACAGTAGAATTTTGTTGGCGTAACAGCACGCAAAGACTTGACTGCACACTGTTAAATAGAATTTCTTGTTTGTATTCTTAGTGGCAAAAGTCTCTTTGCGAGCAGATTAAGTTGATAGAATGTCTCATATAGCCATCCTGACAAGGTGAGCTCAGCGCTGCAAACAGTGCTACTAACCAGGGAGGTGGTTCAGGACGTGGCGCGCTCTTTGGAAACGGTTTGTTGCATTATGTAGGGGGCACGTTCATGGACTACCAAACAGACGTTCATTTTTCCTAAATGGCTCTAATACCAAAAAAGGAGTGAAGAATAATTGAATGGAAACCACTGGTTTTGAGCTGCTCTGGGCTCCAAGTCACTTGCAACTTTGACCAGTTGCTGAGTAGAGGGTCCTTATAAAGGCGCTGTAGAAATCGAGGACAAAAATAGTCGCAAATGGGGTCTTACTTGCGCACGTGATTGAGAGTGAACGGCTCTGAGCGGCTTGTCGGAATGGTTTCTTCAACGATCGTAGCGGTGTTCAGCTACAACGATCGGATGGCCTAGTGGATAGCGTGGAGTATTATCAACAGGTCAGCGGGGGGTGAGTGTTGATGGTTCGACATCCCTAGGCTTGCATCTTTTTGCATTTTTATAGTTTCGCTATCCTCGCTTCCATAAATGTCTGTGCATGAGTATAGCATGGATATTTGCCATTCATGGGCAAATTCTTAACGGTAGTACCCGTGAGTCGGTGTTATGCTTCTATTACAATTTTCTCTTACAATTAAGAAAGGCTACTACTGATAATTGGTTTCTATGTGTAAGTAAGTGATATGATCATTAACATGGTACTTAATCTTAGCTGTGGTGCCATTTGTCTCTGATTTGGATCAACATCAATCTCCCACTGTATTCATTATGTACACCCATAAAAGGGACGTTAAGCACTACTCTGCAGTCAAATCGCGTCAGCGCCAGAAATAAGTGTCAGAATCGTGATCAGGACCATCGATAACCCCCACAGACAAAGAATCGCTCAAAAATTTTACTTGAGTCTTTATATTAATCGTGGTTCGCCTGTTATTCAAACCTTCCCTTTCATTGATGAGTAAACATAAAGCTAACAACAAGGATAACCCCGTTGGAAAAAGAAAAAGTCAGTCATCCTTCCAGGTGCATTTGAAAGTGGAGAAAGTTGAATGAATCTGTTCTATCGTTGGAGGAGAACGACACCTTCGTCGGTGAGTAGCCGCTAGGGGTCGACAAAGGTCCAATGGTGGTTTACGTATTCCACGTGCATTCCAGCTTGTAGCTGTGTGGAAGGACCTTGGTGCAGCACATTCGCGATGCGGCTGCCCAGCGGCGTTACGTCATCGCCGCTAGCAAGGCGTCCCGTCATAATCGTCGACCAAATGGTCCGCCTTAACCGAAGGAGGTCGAAGTCAGCAGTGTTCTACATCACTTGCGAACGAAACTCTGTCTCTACTTTATGTGGACAACCTTCTCATAGGAGCCCATTCCAAAGAGGAAGCCACTGTAAAATACAAAGCTGCATTCGGAATTGTGCAGAAGTAAACGACCTAATTGATGAGAACGATAGAGCCCCATACGCACCTATGAAACTTCCGGGAGTCGATTACGACCCCGTCTCCGATCAATGCTCATTAACTGCGAAAATCTCTTCGAGCCGAAAGTGAGAATTCGTAAAGCAACATTACTCACTTTACGATCCGATAGGTCTTGGTGCTCCACTCATAGTTAGCCAGAAGCATCTGCTAAGAAAAATACTCGAAGAAAACCCGGACTGGAGCAGTGTAGTTAGCCATCAGCGTGGGCATGAATGGAACCAAGCAAGCAAAGCCATTGACAACTTTCATGCACAGATTCCTCGGAGGTACTTCTCTTCCTATAGTATGCAACCTAAGCTCTCGCTTTGGGTTTTCGCAGACGCGAGCAATACAGCGATGGTTGTTTGTGGTTACCTAGAAGAGGACACTCCCAAGGAAGTGTCGTGCTTGATCAGCGGAAAGACTAGATTGGCCCTTCCAAAAAAGAGCTCTGACCACACCAAAGCTAGAGCTTCTCGCGATTTTGCTTGCAGTGCGACTTGCGGAATCAATAGCTCACGCGCTTTGCTAGCTTCACGCAGTAAACATAGCAAGTGATAGCTTATTCGCTTTGAGCTAAACTCGATCATCGCGGAAAGTCCCCCTCTTCGTGGCTAATCAAAGAGACAGATTCAAGACAATCATGAATAGATTGATCGCATTTGGGTGTCACTGCCATCTTTTCCATGTACCCGGAGAAAAGAACCCAGCTGATGCAGGAACGCGCGGAGCCACAAGTCTGCAGCTTAAAAACGTTGACGGGATAAACGTACCATAGTGGCTGCTCAACCAAAAAGAACGGTTAGCGCTGACCAACACTGAATCCATTGATTCGTGAGTCCTCGCAGAATCACCAACTGAGGATGTAGCGCTAACAGGGATAAAGCACAATAACAGAATTAATGATCTCCCTGATCGATCTGAGCCGCTTCAACAGCTTCAGCAAAGCATTGCGCGTAGCAGCCTATGTTGGCAAATTCATCGCCATTTTGAAAGAAAAGACATATGCAGCAAGATAAGCGGAATGCCCTACTCCAACTTGAGCATGAAAAAGTTCCCTTGGGAGATCTTCAAAAACGTCGTCGCGAGAAGCGACTATTTCGCGATGAACAGGGAGTCATACGTTGTCCTCGGTTGCAAAACGCTCATTTGTCTTACGACAAATTACGACATTCGCAACCCATCTACGTAGCGTCGCGCTGCGAACTAATGCGCTTGATTTTACTCGATGTGCACAGTAATAATGCTCACTGCGGGAAACATCATCTACTCTCCTTAGCTAGACAACGTTTTTGGATGACAAGGCCATCTAAATGTGTGGGGCAAATCCTTAAAAATTGCTTTATACGCAGAGCTCAGAGTCTCCCCTTCCAAGCTCCCGAAATGGCACCACTACCAGCAGACAGAGTCGTGAAAGCCAAACCGTTCCAAAATACGGGATGCGATTTCTTTGGCCCATTCGTGCTTAGTACCAACATCAAAGTCTACGTCTGCATTTTTACGATCTCTTTGATTAGCCACGAAGAGGGGGACTTTCCGCGATGATCGAGTTTAGCTCAAAGCGATTAAGCTATCACTTGCTATGTTTACTGCGTGAAGCTAGCAAAGCGCGTGAGCTATTGATTCCGCAAGTCGCACTGCAAGTAAAATTGCGAGAAGCTCTAGCTTTGGTGTGGTCAGAGCTCTTTCTGGGAGGGCCAATCTAGTCTTTCCGCTGATCAAGCGCGACACTTCCTAGGGAGTGTCCTCTTCTAGGTAACCACAGACAACCATCGCTGTATTGCTCGCGTCTGCGAAAACCCAAAGCGAGAGCTTAGCTTGCATACTATAGGAAGAGAAGTACCTCCGATGAATCTGTGCATGAAAGTTGTCTATGGCTTTGCTTGCTTCTTTTCCATTCATGTCCACGCTGATGGCAGTCCGGGTTTTCTTCGAGTATTTTTCTTAGCAGATGCTTCTGGCTAACTATGAGTGGAGCACCAAGACCTATCGGATCGTAAAGTGAGTGATGTTGCTTTACGAATTCTCACCTTCGGCTCGGAAGAGATTTTCGCAGTTAATGAGTATTGATCGGAGACGGGGTCGTAATCGACTCCCAGAAGTTTCATAGGTGTGTATGGGGGCTGTCAAAACCATATGCAACATGCTCGGGGAAGACGTTATTCCGAAAGGTACCCTTTTCCATCGGTACTCGATCAAGTTCATACGAGTAGGTGGCTTGTTTGGATTGCGTACCCAAAGAGACCTGCATAAATCGCGGTGAGCCTCATGAATGCGAATTTGGTGAAGGCGGCTTGAATGTCTGCGAAATGATGGGTTTTTCTCGGCTCGCGAGTATGTCATGTATTTTATCTACGAATGAAGCACCAGTATGAATGACGTCGTTTGGTGACAAGTGACCTCTCTGTTTGGAAGTGGCATCGAACATTATCCTAAGTGGGGTGGACTTGTGTTCCTTCCATACGCCGCAATGCGGCATATAGTAGGTTCCTGCGGACTCTGGAACAGGTTCGATAACTTCCTCAATGACGTCATCATCGAGATATTGACTGATTATCTTTATATACCGCATTTTTCGCTCTGGGTGTTGCTCTAAATAATTTAATTGTGCGACTAATCGACGAAGCGCCATATTGTACTTGTCATTCAGATCTACGATGTTTGCTTTTAGGGGAAAAGGCGCGCTGACACACTTTCCATCAAAGTGCTTATTTCGCATTTTGGAGAGGTACATGTACGCTTCTTCGTCATAAGCACCCTCTTTCGTGGAAATACCATGCCCTTCCAGTTCGAACATGTTCCTCAGCATCTCGTTATCTGAGATCAGCGTATCGTAGTCATAAGCGATGTGCGACACACGTCTTTTTCAACTCATCCTCTACCGTATGCCGCTAGACCGAATATTGTTCGCACGAATTTTAGGCCGGCCGATAACTGGGTGAGTGGGCTGCTCTCGTTAACGAAATGGTCATAGAGATCAAGTCCAAAAACAGGAGTTCGCCTCTCATGCGAGTATTCGTGAGAAGTATGTCGTTCCATGTACAGTATATCGCGCCCGGTGAGATATACTGCGGGAAATCCTGCCGTTATTTTTGGTTTGGTTTTCACGAAAAATTCAAGTTCTCGTCCTTGAGTAGTTTGAACCTTTAGTGCGGCATTATGGGACAAGAAAGTTTCTTTCATTCCGCTAACTCCAGACAATGAGTAGTGTTCTGTTTTGGAAACAGGCAAAGCCACATGTTCAGCTGATTTTTCTAAAATCAGGCTGACCTGTGCGCCTGTATCGAAAATGAAAAGCGCTCGCTCGTACTGGTTGCTGGAATGATTCCAGACAAGGCGATCCGCAGCCATTAGAACTATTTGTTCGTTTGTAGCGGTACAGCGAGATTTGTCTGCAGCGATCTGCTCATGCAGTGCTATTGTTGATGAGTCGCCCAGATGTGGCTGTATTGGAGGAGCGTTAGTCTGTTAAGACTGTTGATCACCTTTTTTTACTCCACTCTTCTGAACTTTGCGGAGGTACCTGCAGGGAGGTTTGAACCACTGGACTTTGCCCTGCCCTTTTTCTGATGAGCTTGCGTTTCCTTTTTGTAAAGAAAGAGCTTCATCGTGTAGTCTATTGCAGCGTTTGCAGTGAGGGCCTTTGCAGTGAGGGCCTTTGCAGTCACTGCTTTTGTGGTCCGCTGAGAAGCATTTCCAGCAGAGGTTCTTTTCCATCACTACTTTTCTGCGTACTTGAGCTTCCTTTACAGTTCGGCTCTCGTATGTCTTGTAGTTCGTTCTGCCGCATAAAGTGCATGACATTATCTTCGCAGTGTTTTCACGCGTGAAATGTCCTGTTTTGGCTTGGAATCCTGGAGTCCTAAAGGCTGAGAGATGTACGCATGCCTCATAATGACTTTTTCCATTTGGTCCAATATTTCACCCACGGTGAAGGCTTCTTGGTCTTATTTTTGCGCAAAAACTCTTCTACAATGGAGCGTGGAAGCTTTTTAAGGATAGTTTCAATCCACATGGGATTGCAAGTATCTGCGATTGCGTAGCCAGAAGAAGTCATTTCATTGACGAGCGCTCGAATGTCGTCAAAACACCGACTCGCACGACTTCGGATAGCCTTTGGCCGGTGGCAGAGACACTAGTCTTTTGATGACTTTCGCACGAGAACTTTTCATATTATCGTACCTCTTTTTATGGTGTGGATCATCCATTGGTAATTTTCAGAAATCATTTTTATGCCTCTGATAGTGTTGGCTGCCCTTCCGATGAGACTCTCTTTTGGAAGTATAATTTTCTCCGTAGCATTGAGCGTAGGATTTTTGTGGACCATCGTTTCATATACAGCCCAATATTCCTGAAACTTATCGACTTCTCCAGCAAACTGGGGATATTGATCCGCGGGGGTTGATTGTTGGATTTGCATTCCTTTTCTCTATGTTTATGTGAGTAGAATCGCGGATTCAATCGGCAAGTCATGTGTCGCACATGCGTCTTCTGCCGCATGTTGATGTTCAAAGCTATGCGATGTGTCTGCAGGCGCGATGAAACTCTCTACATTCGAATTCAGTATTTGGTCAGGTTCATCTCTAACTACCGAATGAACATCGGTATTTGTTCGGGAATGATCTAGAAGAAGTCCGACATCGTCTGCTTTGATAAATGTTGTGTCAGGGATGTGCTTTCCTAGAGCTTTTACTAGCTCGAAGCGAACTTCGGTCAATCGAGTTCTCAGAGCTGTGAGAACCGCGTCGGATTCTCTGAGAGCAGCAGTGTATGCTACGTCTCTCTCCGTCTGTTGGAGTTTTTCAAGGGATTCCTTCCTTTCTGTTTTCTTCACAGTAGTGTATTCCTGTTGTATTGAATCAAGAATTCTCAGTAGTTCGTCTCTAGACGAGCTTATCACTGAAATAGCGTTTTCTATCACTGACGGGGTCCTGGCGCAGAAATCAACTATTTCGCCCTTTTCGACTGGGTATTTCACCTCGTCTGCGCACACTCGAAATGTGTCAGCCTGAGATGTTATGTTGACCGTAGCCCTTTGAAGGTCAGTTGTGTAGAAATAGAGCGCCATATTTCCAAACCCTGCGCGCCCAAATTTTTCCTTTTTTGTTCAAAAACAATCGACTTTATTTTTCGTCGAATTTCGGTGCTGTCAATTGACGTATTGGCCTTTTTATGGCGGGATTATCCTAGCCACTCGCCTGGCCTTCTCTCTCGGTGGACTATGAAAGGGTGCAAGAAAGAGGAGACCGGCCCACTTTGGATCGTGGGGGCCGATGCACCAGGTGGTTCAGCAAATAGATGCGCAACTTTATGCTGCGTTTACAATCACACAAGTAATGCGAGCGAGGAGGCCGTGGGGGGGGGGGTGGTGCTAAGCCGTGTGGTGTCGCGTCGACGCGTTGGCGTCGACGCGACAAGTGTAGATAGTAGTAAATAAAAAGGTCCAGTTAGGCAAGCTTCCATACTTCATGACAGCAGTGGCGATCGCGGCGATCGTCGGTACGTGACAGAGCGCGTCCCAACGCCATCACTGGGCCGCTCCCTTTAGTAAATAAGGAATTTCAACATGTGGAACCTTTTTCTTAATAATGGCTACTATTGAGAACTTGTGACTTTCTGTACTTGAACTGGAACATGAGGAGGGGGGGGAGGAGTTTCACCTTTTTTAGGTAGGGATGAGAGCAACTTCATTTCGTGGGCGAGCTTCTTTTCGTTTCTTTTGTGTTCATTGTTTCAATTTATGTAAGTGTTTCAAAAGTTTCCAACTGTCCAAATATTTGTAGTTCTCAAACTGAGTTCAAACAACGAAAAAAAAACGAAACAGAAAGAAACTCATCTAGAAACCAAAACGATAACGCTTTCATGCGACATCAATGATGAGAGAACTTCATAACTTTGTGTATAAGCTCGAGGAGGAAAAAAGAAACAATAAGAAATTTACCCTAGACGTAGTCCCCTTGCTTTATGCTCATTTCTATCCTGAATCAAAAAAGAAAATAGAAAACAAAGGTCATAGAGTTGGGTCCGCCCTTCATTGTGTCAGACCAGGCTTTAGCACCTAGGACAATTGCAGTTAAAAGAATAAAAGGCACGAAATTGAGTCGGTTCTTCCTAAAACCACTCGTAGCGGTCCAAGTCATAGCGTTGGGGCGCGCACTGTACCGACGATCGCGGCGATCGCCGCTCGCGAAGTACGAACGCTGCCTTATCGAAGTTGGATAACGACTTCTACAGGATACTGATAGCCACCAGTTCAACAAGACCTGTCATCATAACTCGAAAGCTCAGGGTGAAAAACCGCTGAAACTCTCTATGTAGGTGTTATTAATGGTCCTGATCACGGTTCTGACCTTTATAAACTGGAGCCGAGGCCATACGGGCCCTGAATACCCATTCCCTACGTGCGGTATGAAATGCTGCGAGAACCACTTGAGAAATTCTTTACCACATATGTGCAAATTAAGGTACTTTTTCACCTTGCTTGTGTTGATTCTGATGCAGAGTCGACGAAGGTCTCATTTGCTATGCATACTCAACACGAGAAATAGAAAAAAGCTGGAAAAATGGTAACCGCTTTTTCTTAGCGAAATTGCTACTCATTTTTTCGGCATTCCCAGGAACGCATAGCGAAAACTCATTTTGGCGGTCCTCATATGGACCCCTATAACGCTATATGCAATAACCCTTTCTAGAAAGCGTGACGACTTGAATGACATCCCTTGTTGGGTCGCTTTCCGTGCACCTCGACTCGAGACCAGTCTTACAAACGGTGTTAAAATTCGCACGCAATAAATAACCGTGCCATCGGAGGCGAGAATCGCGCATTTTTTCGGTTACGGGAGCTACACCGAATCTTTTGCGTATGTCGTCGTTTCAAATGTGATCCATACGCGTGGCGCCAGTCTAGCTCAACATTTTCATCTCCATCACTCCTAGGTAGGCTTCAGGCTGGTCGCAGGCCAGGCCCGCTCTGTATCGCCATCCATTGATTGACGGTTCTAAAGATCTTCTATTCAAGCCCCAGTTTCAGAGGTCACTCTGACCAACGCGAACTCACTTCTAGTTCAGACTGCAATCATACGTAATTCCTGAACCGAGATACTTAAAAGTTGTACGCGCTAGTTCGTTCCGACTCTAAGGGAACTGCGTTTGTCTGAGTCGGTTGTCAGGCACCTTGATTTCTTGACTTCATGGATTTCATGCCTTCAGTCTGAATCGAAATTTCGCCGAACGCTCGAACCAAGCTTACACGTGTTGCTCGAAGCCACTCTTACCCTTACACGCGAGCATCACATAGTCAGCGTAGAGAAGCGTCCAAGAAGTCGGCTTTTGAAGATCCCGTGAAATGGGATCAATGACAACAACGAAGAGGAGCGGGGAAGCGTAGAGCCTCGCTGCGCCCCCACTGTGATGGGGAGTTCCGTCAAAGTGGGCTGATGTTCACACTGGACTCGTTGGGCTGGAGTACAGGATCACCCACTTACAAGGGAACCCCAACAGGTCGATTCGGCCATTTACAATGAGATGTATACAGTGGACGTGTCTTGAGCCGCTGACTCCGAATCTGCCCTCCGATTTTGCGGAACGATTCTCTGAAGGGAGTTACGGACCATTCAATCTTTGCTGTGTTTGCACAAGCTGACCAGGAAAGGCCAACACCTCAGCCCGGCCATTTGCAACGAAATGTACAGCATTGTACTCACCTTGCCATGATGAACACAATACTATTTTTGAAATTCGTGGAACGATTCTCTGAGTGGAGTTGTGAGGTTTTTCTTTACTGCTTTTCTTCTTCCGGGCGCGCCAGCGCCAAAGCGTAAGCACCTGTAGCGCAACTCACAGCGCTCTTCACGCAAAACAGGCTACCATATTCTTGTTCAGGGGTCAAATAACCCCTAGAGACGTCACCCAGCGGAATCCGAGGTTCTAACTCATTTTCGAGAAAATGGGTTATGAATAGCTGTGGCTGACTGATAGCCAAAGCGATACTACGACTACCATACTGATGATGACTGGTTCCAACTGAAATACCTTTTCATGTGCCTTTTCGCTAGACATTACCCGGCTTACTTATTCTTGCCGTTTGCATCATCGTCCTCTTTACCACGAGGTAGTTCCATCTCGAGACCATTCACACAATGGTAGGTGAGCTCCCCTATGCTTTCGATTACCCATGAAACAGCACCATATTTTACAAGTTAGATAGAAATATCAGATTCGGCTAGAAACTGTGCTCCCAGGGGTAGTTTGACTCGCTGAACATGAATATGATGGTATTTCACTGCAAAAACCCTTGTGACATGTGGTTATCCTCATAATAAAAGTTTTAAGAGGAACCATACAAGGGGAATCGCCCACCTTTCGTTGGCAACTAATCAAGAAATAAGGAAATGGCCAAATAGAAATTTCGTAGGGCTCATACCAGGTGTTTTGAATGAAAAGCAAAAGATTTCGATACGCGAGGATTCCAACATTCGACCTCGTGTCTCTGAAGCAATTGCACTTATCCACTAGGCCATCGGCGCGCTTGCCGCAGCCAGTTACCCTTCTCAACTTGAGCAGACGGCTAAGATTAAATGGTCCCTAACTCCCTTTGGAGAATCGTTCCGCAAAAATCGGAGGGCAGGTTTGGATTCGGCGGCTCAAGACACGTCCATATTTATACATCTCACTGCAAATGGCCGGATCGACCTGTGGGGTTCCCTTGTCAGTTCATTTCTTGGGAACGCCGTTTGTCGAAAGGCGTACTATATAACTTCATGCGAGACCGATCGAATGCCTCCCTCGAGTCAGGGAAGGTTGGATGGAAATGCTTCTGTTTCCCGCGATGTTTCTACAGCAAGAGACGAGAGGCATGAGAGCTGGAAGATATCACGAATACGTTCATCCTTGATTCGCTCGAAAAGTTTCGTGCTGCGCTAGAATAGGCGAACTAGACGACAGTTTCAGCAGTCTGCAGGGTTGCCCTTTTTCTTCAAAAAGGAACCGTCGTTCTTTCACCCAGTAATAATTTCTGTCAAATCTACTATACCATGTTTCAGAACTAGCTTCCCTTGGCTGATGGCAGCTGCGCTGTGAATTTAACGATCCTCCCTTTCCAAAGCTACTTGTGGAACTTGAACAACTGCTATTACTTCCTTTCGCCAGGCAATAATGTTTCTATCCAATACCTCCGCTCATTTCTGAGGATCTGCTTCTCTTCGCTGAT